ACTTAGTCCTTTCAGCAGTTCCAAGAAGGCGCCATACCTATTTGCACCACTCAGGTGACCTTGAGGACACAGACAAACCCCAAGTGGCCTCAATGACTCACTAAAAGACTGCAAATGACCAGCTGTCTGCAAGAAATATAAATCTTCCCTTCCCCACCATCCAGTCAGAGCTGAAGACACTTCTTAAATGAGAAGTGAAACTTTTTCAAAGAAAAACAAAGTCCAGTTGCCTCTTGAAAAAAGCACCTTTAGGACAGCTGTCTTGCTTAGCAACAGAAATTTAGGCCCCTTTGTGATCGTAAAGTTGAGATCTGTACTAATCAGATTTGGGATTAATGGCATCCGTTCAGGATAGAAAACAAAGGGCACTTCTGATCATTTTTGCTAGCTAGTACCGACAGCTTCCAAAGGGACATTCAGAGGAAATCAGGAGGCTTAAAACAAAATATACTGGTTCACCAGTGCCTTTTTGTGGTTTGCCTCATAAAACTAGGATGGATGCCAAAATCACATCAAAATGTAATGACAGGGTAATCTGAGATGCAGGGGCAAATATTCCTTGTTTTTGTTTAATATGAAACAAATGCAGGTTTTTTGTTAAAAAATGAAAGCATGTGTGTTAAATAAGGTTTTTTTTTTTTTTTAAAAGAGAAGAATGCTAGCTGTAGTTGCCATCTAGTGTATATTCACTATATCTTTGTTTTGGGAAAGGATGCATGATTCCTGGCAGGCAGAAAGGGGAGTATTCTGATCATAGTGTATAGGTTGTCTGCCTTTGTTGAATCAGAAATTAATGATTTGTATGTATGCTACACTCCTGCAGAAATAGGAGATATTCCAGCTATATATGAATGCTTTGGAGACTTTTCATGTTGCAGTGTTCTGAAATAATTATTATTACAAGTATTCAATATACGTATTTATTTTATCGGTTAGATTTTTATCCCCATAGTGACCCTCTGAAGAAGCTTAGGCTGAAAGAAAATAACTGATTGAAAGTAACTTTTGAATTTTCACATCTGAGGGTGAACTTGAACTTGTGTCACTCTAATCCAACAGCAAGGCATTAATTAATTAATTAATATGCCGCATTCAGGCTATAACCACTATTTCATGTTTCTATCCATTGTTGTTGTTGTTAATTGCGAAGTCGTGTCCGACCCATCGCGACCCCATGGACAACGCTCCTCCAGATCTTCCTGTCCTCCACCATCTTCTGGAGTCCATTTAAGTTCACACCTACTGCTTCAGTGACTCCATCCAGCCATCTCATTCTCTGTCATCCCCTTCTTCTATTGCCCTCAATCTTTCCCAGCATTAGGCCCTTCTCCAGTGAGTCCTTCCTTCTCATTAGGTGGCCAAAGTATTTGAGGTTCAACTTCAGGATCTGGCCTTCTAAAGAGCAGTCGGGGTTGATCTCTTCTAGGACTGGCCGGTTTGAACGCCTTGCAGTCCAAGGGACTCGTAGGAGTCTTCTCCAGCACCATAGTTCAAAGGCCTCAATTCTTTTGCGCTCAGCCTTTCTTATGGTCCAACTTTCACAGCCATACATTGCAACTGGGAAAACCATGGCCTGTACTATACGTACTTTTGTTGGCAGGGTGATGTCTCTGCTTTTTAATATGCTGTCTAGATTTGCCATAGCTTTCCTCCCCAGGAGCAAGCGTCTTTTAATTTCTTGGCTGCAGTCCCCATCTGAGGTGATCTTTGAGCCCAGAAAAATAAAATCTGTCACTACCTCCATTTCTGCCCCATCTATTTGCCAGGAATTGAGAGGGCCGGATGCCATGATTTTGGTTTTCTTAATGTTGAGTTTCAAGCCAACTTTTGCACTCTCCTTCTTCACCCGCATCAAGAGGTTCTTTAGTTCCTCTTCACTTTCTGCCATTAGAGTGGTATCATCTGCATATCTTAGGTTGTTGATATTTCTCCCAGCAATCTTAATTCCAACTTTTGATTCATCTAGCCCTGCCTTTCTCATGATGTGCTCTGCATATAAGTTAAATAGACAGGGCAATAGTATACAGCCTTGCCGGACTTCTTTTCCAATTTTGAACCAATCAGTGGTTCCGTGTCCAGTTCTCACTGTTGCTTCTTGACCCGCATATAGGTTTCTCAAGAGACAATGAGATGGTCTGGTACTCCCATCTCTTTAAGAACTTGCCACAATTTGTTGTGATCCACACAATCAAAGGCTTTTGCATAGTCAATGAAGCAGAAGTAGATGTTTTTCTGGAACTTCCTAGCTTTCTCCATGATCCAGCGTATGTTGCCAATTTGATCTCTAGTTCCTCTGCCTCTTCGAAATCCTGCCTGTACTTCTGGTAGTTCTCGATCCACATACTGCTGGAGTCTAGCTTGTAGGATTTTAAGCATAACTTTACTAGCATGTGAAATGAGTGCAATGGTGCGATAGTTTGAACATTCTTTGGCATTGCCTTTCTTTGGAATTGGAATGTAAACTGACCTTTTCCAATCCTGTGGTCACTGTTGAGTTTTCCAAATTTGCTGGCAAATTGAGTGTAGCACTTTTACTGCATCGTCTTTTAAGATTTTGAATAGCTCAGCTGGAATACTGTCACCTCCACTAGCTTTGTTGTTGCTCAGATTTTCTAAGGCCCATTTCATTTCACATTCTAGGATGTCTGGCTCGAGATCGGTGACCACCCCATCGTGGTTATCTGGGATGTTAAGCTCGTTCTTGTATAGTTCTTCTGTGTAATTTTGCCACCTCTTCTTAATCTCTTCTGCCTCTGTTAGGTCCCTGCCATTTTGGTCCTTTATCATGCCCATCTTTGCATGAAACGTTCCCGTCATATCTCCAATTTTCTTGAAGAGATCTCTGGTCCTCCCTATTCTGTTGTTTTCTTCTATTTCTTTGCACTGTTCATTTAAGAATGCATTCTTATCTCTTATAGCTACTCTCTGGAATTCTGCATTCAATTGGGTGTATCTTTCTCTTTCTCCTTTGCCTTTCGCTTCCCTTCTTTCCTCAGCTATTTGCAAAGCTTCCTCAGACAGACATTTTGCTTTCTTGCAGTTCTTTTTCTTTGGGATGGTTTTAGTTGCTACCTCTTGTACAATGTTGCGAACTTCCATCCATAGTTCTTCAGGCACTCTGTCTATCAGATCTAATTCCTTAAATCTATTTGTCACCTCTACTGTATATTAATCAGGAATATGATTTAGTTCATACCTGAGTGGCCTAGTGCTTTTCCCTACTTTTTTCAATTTAAGCCTAAATTTTGCAACGAGAAGCTCATGATCTGAGCCACAGTCAGCTCCTGGTCTTGTTTTTACTGACTGTAAAGAGCTTCTCCATCTTTGGCTGCAGAGCACATAGTCAATCTGATTTCTATGTTGACCATCAGGTGATGTCCATGTGTATAGCCGTCTCTTGGGTTCTTGGAAAAGAGTGTTTGTTATGACCATCGTATTCTCTTGACAAAATTCTATTAGCCTGTGCCCTGCTTCATTTTGTACTCCAAGGCCAAACTTGCCTGTTATTCCGGTTATCTTTTGGCTTCCTACCTTAGCATTTCAATCCCCCATGATGATAAGGACATCATTTTTTGGTGTTAATTCTATAAGGTGCTGTAGGGCTTCATAGAACCAGTCAATTTCATCCTCTTCAGCACCAGTGGTTAGGGCATAGATTTGGACTATTGTGATATTGAATGGTTTGCCTTGGATTCAAATTGAGATCATTCTCTCATTTTGGGGATTGTATCCTAGTATTGCTTTTCCTATTCTTTTATTGACTATGAAGGCTACTCCATTTCTTCTGAGGGATTCTTGCCCACAGTAGTATACCTGATGGTCCTCTGAGTTAAATTCACCCATTCCTGTCCATTTTAGTTCGCTGATTCCTAAGATGTCGATGTTCTATCCATAGAATACTCAAAAAGGCCAACTCATATAACTCATTCTTCTTCATTGGTATCATATAAATCAGCCTGAACTGGGAGCTATTGAAAAGGCTACCCTGTCTTTTTCCCTAGCCACTTGAATCCCATCATAACTTTGGGTAGAGCGTAGCTCTAACATACATTTAGAAAGGAAATAAGAATGGGAGAATAAGAGCAACAAAGGTTCCATATTTCTCTTATTTCTCTTATTCTCTTATTCCTATAGGTCCGTGGTGGCAAACCTATGGCATGCGTGGCACGCAGAGCCCTCTCTGTGGGCACGCGTGCCGTTTTCCCAGTCCTAGGCCGTCAGCTGGGTTTTATAAAACCTTTTTGCTTTAGGCCTCCGCCACTGTGTGAAAAAAAAAAGGTTCAGTCAATCAATTTCAACTTCTCGCAGGGAAAAAAGGATCTTGCAAAGTTGGAATTGATTGATTGAATTTTTTAGTCCCACCCAGTCTGCCGTTACTACCGCAGCCATGCCCACCCAATTGGCCACACCCACTCAATGGGCCACGCCCACCCAGCACCCGATGATACATAAGTAGATTTTGGGTTGCAGTTTGGGCACTTGGTCTCTAAAAGGTTCGCCATCACTGCTATAGGTAATATAGATAAATTTTGATGGATTTCGGTATGTTGTTCTGTTTAATATTAAGTTTTTGATGGAAGGCTTTTGATAAAAAGAATCAATTCTCACATTTTTCCTGCTGTGACCCTCTCCTTCTGTGTTGCTTTCCCCAAGCCTTGAGATTTATTGGGAAGTGGGATAAAATGTAGATAGTGAGGGATTGTAAACCAAAATTACTAGCTATCCTTCCATCAGTGGGAGCATTTCCTGACTAAAACTGGTCTGGATGTTTCTTTTAGAGGGAGCAAAACTTGCATCCAAATATGCCATGGACTTTTTTTTTTTTAATATCGTTTTCTATTAAATGGAAAAACAAGCTTTCTACTTTGTTCACAGATTATTTCAGAGTTGTTGGAATGAAAAAGAATAATTTTATCGACAACATCTCTTTCACTAATTAAAGCATTTTGTTTATTGGTACTGTGTGGAAAGATTTATGTTATTTGTCTCTTTACTTGCAGCTTTTGAGAGAACTGAAGCACCCTAATGTGATTGCATTACAGAAGGTTTTCCTTTCTCATAGTGATAGAAAGGTGTGGCTGCTGTTTGATTATGCTGAACATGATTTGTGGGTAAGTTCTGAAGTTCCTTTTTTTTTTTTTACCGGAATTATGTTATGTTTTAAAAGAAGTAACTGCAGTCAGAATGGATTTAAAACCTTTGCCCAATCTCACGTGGTATCTTAACCTAGATAGCTACACAAAACGTGTTAGGAAAGAGGAACCAGGGTGAAATCCACGTGTCTGTCTTCTTTATAAGTTGTATTGAAAAATTTCATTATGAGATATAATCAGGTAGTCTCTGAAGATGCAGAAATGTTTTCAGGATTTTAAAAAAAGTAACATAAACTGAAAAACTCCCCATTAGCCTTTCCTGAGAAGTTGAGATTGCTTTGCATTTATTTAAGTAATTAAAATCTTTAGAGGCTTAATTGTGTGCTCTGTGTATGATCTGATTTGGAATTCATATACTGAAAGCCTTACCCTACCTTAAAACCATGACTGGCTACAAAAAAACAAAGAGAAACAGAGGCATTTTGAAGGAGGCCCTAATGCCATTTTGAGATACATAACTATCCACAAGTTACAGCAGTGTGGTATCAGAACTGTTCTCAGTTTCATTTTCCCACAGAATTTAAGAGTGAAAAAAGCTTAACTACCTATGCGTTTTCTGTTCTCCTGGCCAAAGATCGTCATTTTTTTTTAAAAAAAAATATTTTGGAAATCAGATATGTAATTTCCTTCCATAACTTAGTTGTTAAGAGTTGTAGGCCAATTGTATCATTATATCATTGAGCTTGTAGGTTTCCACAGCTATAAAAGAGAACTAATTCATGAAAGATAATATTTTAACCATGCTCAGAGAATAGGCACTGTAAAGATATGTCTGTGTCTAGAACAGGACTAGACAGAGCTACACTTCAGTAATAACTCTCGTTTTACTCAAACCCTGAGGAGTTTTTTTTTGTCTGATGGGGAAGAAATATGTATATAAGTTCAGATTTTAATTACAATGACACCAAGAATGTATTTTTACCCATCAGGACTAAATGAAGTTCACAGTTATTTCACAAAGAAATATACATTTAGTAATTCCTCTTCTCTTTTTTTTTTCATTTGAACTGGTGTACACACTCAAGATTCCAACATGTCACTTGTAAAATTTAAACTTTTGGTGTTAGCCTTTCCCAGGCATCAACCTCTCCCAGCCACTGACATTTCTTTTCCAGTGGATTGTTTGTAGTGGACTTGTAAACTATGTCAGGACTTTTTGCCACAGGAAATGATATTGAGATCTTTATGATAGCAATTATAAATAATTAATTTCTCCTTCTATTTAAAAGATTCCCATGTGATTGGGTTTTCCTGTATTTTTCCTCAGTGGAGCAAATTTCCAGCTGAGGGAGAAACTGACATTGCCTCTCACTCCAATACTTCTGGTCTGCAATCCAGTTTGAGAAACCCAGTGGCTGCTTTTAGGAAGAAACAAAAATGTTAGCCAGCTTTCCCATTTATCTTCCAGTTTGACCTCAGAAAATACTTTAGAATTAAAGGTTTTGAAAGCTCTGCTCTACATGCTGGCAACTGCACTATAACTCAAAGGTGGTCTTGAAGATCATATAAGAAAGAACTCATTCAGATTTCAACTGTAAGCTAGGATTTTATATGTGCAATTAGTATAATGATTTTGAACTATTACGTTTAATATGAAATGAAATATCTGCCTTTTGCAGCATGTTGTGGTAGGTTTCATAGGAAAATATTCCTCTTCTCTTTTTGCCGGATCAGTTCAAGATATGCTTAATGAATATTAAATTAACATGAAAGTTAGATCTGCTAGAGACAAATTACTGTGTTGCTTAAACAGTATGATGAAAACTCATTATGAAACCCGTGAGTAATACTTTACTGTCAAGAAAATTATGTGTATAAACTGTTCCAACCAAAGAGAAACTTGGATGAAAATAATATAAAGTCATGAGACTTCATGCTATTGCATGCGCCATATAATTTTATTGGAGAGTCTTGTTCTTATAGTTTTACTAACTTTGCATCCACTCTGGAAGCTTTCTCCATCAAAGTTAATTACACCAAGAGTAAATGTACACTTCATAGTTCAAAAGTGCCATAGTCTCATTATGAAAAGCTTCATTTGATATGCATAAAACGTTATCTCTGTGTTTTAGTTCTTTGCTTTTAAAAGCAGCTACAGAAGAATGTATGGCCGCTATAATAGGAAGCATGTTTAATAATCCAATGTGCAGTTCTTGCCACCTGAATACTGCATGCTTTGTTTGAAAGAGAACCATCTGACAATAGTTTTGTAGGGGCACTCTTTCTTGTTGATTGTCTGTTGTAAAGTCATAATGCAAAGTGTACATTCTTCCTAATATGCTCCCTAGCTTCCAGTGTCTCGATACGTGCAATACACCATTATCACAAATTCCTAGGCTATATCATTTCATACAAATGGTGCCAATATTTGCATGTGTTTGTACTGTGAATGTTTTTTTTGTTCACTTTCTAGTATTTTTGAAATAAAGCATGCAACTCATTAAAATGTTATATATTTCCCGTCCAATTGTTAGAATAATGACCACTTCACATTTACCTGCATTGTTCAGGGAACTACTTCCTGCATGGTATGTTCCCATGCAATTTTGTTATATAACACAAACCAGATGAACGGGACATATGCTGCTGTTCCTTCCCACCCAAATATTTTTCTCCAGCTTGGCTGCGAAGTAGCCACATGATTGACCCTGCCTATTTGATTCTTGGAATGTTCTATATTAAGGGCTCTCATTTAATGGAGTAAATATAAATTGGTCGTTTCCACAACCTTTCACTTTCTCTAGTGCAACTTTTCTTGTTCTTTTGTTTTTGCACAGGAACAATTAATCATCTCTTGAAACCTAGAAGTCAGCAACATTATTGCTCTCCAAATAGATTTCTCTCTCTCTCTCTTCATCCCCCTCCCTGTCTTTCAATGAAGTGTAGAAAGCAGTCCTACTGGTTTAACATTGAGTAATCATGTACCACTGTGAGCAAGAGATTTTTTTTTTTTAAAAAAAAATAATAATTTGGGGCTAGTGAAGAATTTTAAGCGAAATGAAATATGAAGAAAATGTTGTCCTGGAGATAGCTGCCAGATTTTGAACCCGTGCAATTTTTTTCTTGCTGTACAGAATTGAAAACTATTTAATGTGCTTTTCTAGCATTTGGTGATGGCCCAAATTAATATCCCTCATGGTCTGAATAGCTCCCCCTCTCAATTATCCTAAGCATCTCTCCATATTTCCCCATTGTCTTTTTTGCTCACTCCCAACTTTGTCTCTTTCCATGCTGCCTCTTACACTTGGAACAGCCTCCCAGTCAACGTATGTAAAGCTCTCCTCCTTCAAAAAACAGTGTTGAAATCCACATGCTTAGGAACATATTTCTTTTGTTCACACCATAACATTCTCTGTGTTCTACTAGTTTATATGCTTCATTCTAAAAAAAAATTATAGCATTTAAACTTTATAGGACAGAGGAGATGATAGCCTAGAGGGTTATTCTTTTATACTTGGTACTGAGAGACAGCATGGTATAGCCAGTAAAGGTGTGGAGAGACCCCAGTTTAAATCCTGAACAAGTCATCAGAAGTCATTGATTTGCCTTGGAGCAAACATAATTTCTCATTTCACATTTTTCCTCTTATAGTATACAGATTAAAATGTTAACTAATTTATTGTCAGGGTGAACCTAACCCAGAATTTGCAGGACCAAATTCTGTGTCAAAAGATAATTTCCCTATGTGGCCATTAATATTGATGGGTTGATATTTATCGTTCTCCAGAAAACCCTTTCCTGTATGAGTATTAGGAACTTAAGTAGTTATGTACTGAGAAATCAGTCGGAGCATCTTTGTAGCTTTCACATATTAACTTTGGCATCCCCAGTTTCCCTTCCCAGCTCAGAAGAGAGTTATAATGTTGCAAACACTTTGGGCTGCCTACCACCATTTTGAAATCCTCCCAGATTGGGAACAGGACTAATAACAAAACAGCAAATGCATATTTGGTGGGTGAAAATATTGAATAAAAACATGGCAGTCTTTAATATTTGATAATTGATGTGATACCATTTGTAACATCCATCAATTTTATTATACTGTATTTGTTTTGGGGGCAAGCATTCTCTTTATTTCTTGATATCTATATCAATAATATTTTAAGGAATTGTTTTGTTAGATAAATATTCATTTGTTGAAAGGATGTTGTTATGCATTGACTTTTCCTATTATTATGGTTACATACCAATTTAATTGGAGAAAAAAGCTCGCATTTGTAGTACTGCCATTTGTTTTTCTGTTGATCTGTGTCAACAAGAGAAACAATACTTGTTTTGGCTTTAATTCATTATTAATCCATGGGGCTCTTTTGTGTGTATTGAATTAGCAACTTATGTGATAAGCAATAACTGAAATAATTTTGCTTTTGAACATTCCTTTTTTGGAAGTTATAGGTTGGAGTCCTTCAGATTCCTTTTCCATAAAGACTCTGTATTGTGGATAGCTTGTGCTTCTTCACTTCAGTACTTAAGAATGTTATTCAGTACTTAAAATCTCGATGGGTGTATGAAAGTCATATTATTCCCCTGGGTTTATTTAAGTCTAATGCAAATGTAATTCTGACTTTCTGCTAACCATCATTTGCAAATTAGCCTCAAACTGACATTTTTCTTCTCATTACTCATTCATACTTTCATATACATTTTCCCATCCCTTTCCTTGACAGTTTTAATAAAGTTTTGCATTACATTTGTCATGGATAGTAACAGCTAGTTGTGATGTCCTTGATGTTCTTTCAGCTTGGTTGTTTGCCTACAAATGTTTCGTTACCTAACTAGGTAACACCATCAGTGCAAGTGGGTGCAGGGTTTGATTCTTGTTTATATACATTGCTTGCCCTGCCAGTTTTGGTGGGGATATGGTTTTCTCCTTGATAATTTTTTGATTAGGGTATTGTTTCCTGCTTGCTTGATTGTTTCCCTAGTGTTAATCCTTGTTTATCTGGGTGATGGCTGCTGGAGAAGATGTATTCTGCTTTTTTTTATTATTTTCTTCTCCATTTTTTGTCTCTTTTGAATGGTGAATAAATATGGTGTTCTATATTTCTATATGTCTGTTGATTGCTGAATTGTTTGAATGTCAAGCTTCCAAGAATTCTCTAATGTTTTTGTCTAGGATGCACATAGTTTCCCAGTTGAAATTATGGTTGACTCTATCCACGTGAGATTATGGGATTTTCATTGTATCTTCTGATTGCTAGTTGGTGTTCATTGATACTCTCTGCTAATCTTCTACCTATCTGACCTACATAATGACTAGTTACAGTTTTTACATTCTCTGTTGTAAATGACTTTTTTTTTCTTGTGTTACTTTTGGTTTACCTAGGATGTTTTGGAAAGCTTTGCTTGTTTTGTGTGCTATAATAATGTTGTGTAGTTGTAACAGTGTGTTGGTTTCTGAGATTTTTGATATATGGTTGTGTTATCTTTTTCATAGTTTATGTTGGTTGTGCTTCAGTGGATTGAATGGTCAAGCACTATTTTATAAAGTTGTGTAGATATCCATTTTGTTGGAATATGTTATATAGGTGGTCTGTTTTCTTTGTTTTGGTGTTCTGGATTGTTACAGTGCATTTGTACTTATCTGAGTAATATTTTTATACAGGTCCTCTTGTGGGAGGTTGAGCTGTTCCTTTAGTAATGCAGCACTTGGTTAGTGGGATTGTTTTTTGATATTAGCATTTCCAGTGTGCTACTATTTTCTCTGCCAATGTTGATACAAAATAGGTAGTATGTTGTTTTCTTCTTCCCTTGTGAATTTTATTTCTTTGAATATGTTGATGAATTCATCTGTCTTTTTTAATTGTTTCTTTTTTTTATGAAGAAGGTTCTATACTTTTGGTATATCTGGGAGTGCTATAGTGTCTAGACCAGGGGTAGGCAACCTCAGCTCTTTTATGACTCACGGACTTCAACTCCCAGAATTCCTGAGTCAGCATAGCTGAATTATGCTCTCTGCTATAAGTCCTGAGTGTGATGATCTCATGGGTGTTCCTCAGATTTGTTGGCACATTTGTTCATCAAACTGAAAGTAGATAGTAAGCAAAGGTCTATGATTCTGGCATTTCAATCTTAGTATATTTGGCTAGGTTGGGTGTGTTGTGTAATATTTCTGCCATGGATTTTTTTTCACTATTTCTGGATTTATGGATGTAGAGAATGCTGGGACATTGAATGAAACCATCATTTCATCTTCTATTTTAGGTCTTTGATTCTGAAGGCATTGTAGTGGGAGAGTATGTCCAAGCTCTTTTATAAGGTGTCCAAGCTCTTTTATAAGTTCTTTGGCTGTGAGGTGTCCAAGCTCTTTTATAAGTTCTTTGGCTGTGTTTCATGTTAGGATTCCTGGGAATTATACATTTGGACAAAGAGATATGTTGGGCTTGTATATTTTGGGGCATTCTGCCACACTGCAAGCAAACAACCAAGCTCAGAGAGCACCAGAACTACATCGTTCAACTTTGAGCTACATATATTTTCTTCTATTGGAACCATCTAATCCAACCATCTATTGGCATTTGAAATGAATTGATAGAATCTTATCTGATTCTCATACATACAGGATTAAGTGGTATAGGTTAGTAGCATCTGCACAGATGTAAATCTAAATTTAATTGAGAAATGACCAGTCATTTCATGCTGGAGATAGAATGAAGAATGGGCATTCCGGGGTTTGTTTTCAGTTTGAAAACTTCATTTTGGAAAAAGCTCCAGATATTTCTACACTGGAATTCAGAAGCAAAGGAGAGATATTGTACAGAAGAGTGAAGAGACTGCATCTTATTATCCAATGTTTCCTAACTGAGTTTTTGCACTGAGAAAATTGTTCTACTTTACTACATTATAATGTATGGATCATATTAAAGTTTTCTGTTAGCACTGAAGTGCTGCCAACTTTTTTCCAAATATCTAAAAAAATATGCATTACTGTTTTCATACCCTGGAGAGCCCATTTCTGACCTGAGAAGGGTGCCTTGAGTTTGAAACAGATTTTGAATGCAAGATCAGTCAAAAGCCTAGAAGCCTTCCCAAACTTTCAGACTACAATGAATGGGAATCCTGGAAATTGTCATCTAACATGCCTAGTGGGTATCCACTTGAGAAGATTGAACCAAAGGAAAATTTAGGGATTTAGGGCCCCATGGACTTCATTGCTTCTATTTTCATTTTGCATTAGTTTACTTTCTTATTCCAATTACTGATAAATGTTCAAACAAAAAGTTCCTACTCTGTATTGCTTTACCATCTACCTGTAAGTAAGCAAAGCCAAATAGGCAAATTTGTCATATTTCTGAAATTTGTTCCAGATGCAGTCCATAAAATATTTCAGAACGTTTAAGTCTTTATTTTTATTTTTTTTAAAAAAAGGTGTTGGGGGAATTATACTAAAATGGTTTTAGAACTATAATTTCATGAAAATGTCAGAAACAAAACCTGCTTCAATCCATGTACCTTTAAAGCTGAGGAAACCATGTGATGTTTCACTGTTACATTTTCTTTAATATTAGATATAAAAAGCTCATACTTCCAATTTTTAGATTTCAAAATTAAAAGACTTTCATCTTTCGCAATTATTTTGTGGGGTTTTTTTTTTACATGATGCTTTCATGTTTGTGTTCTTTTTTGTTTCCAGCATATTATCAAGTTTCATCGTGCTTCAAAAGCAAACAAAAAACCCATGCAGCTGCCAAGATCTATGGTCAAATCACTACTTTATCAGATTCTTGATGGAATCCATTATCTCCATGCAAACTGGGTGCTTCACAGAGACTTAGTAAGTGCTGTGACTTTAACTGCCTACAGTTAAATTAAAGCTAGTTATATTAAAGACAGTTATATTTGTATTTCTTGGAAAAGTAGATAAAAATGCAAAATATTAATCTCATGGATTACTACACGTCCTCCTGAAAATTTTACCATAATTACCCAATAGCAAGATGAGCCAGACAGGTAAATGTGCTCATTTCAAAAGGAAGAGAATGCAGAATGTATAGAGAAATCCCATGGAGTTCCAAGCTTGTCACCCTAGGTTTGCCAGCTTCAGCTGAAACCAGTCCTAAAGATTTCCTCCTTCCAGTGTCTGTAAGCAACTGATAGGCAGGCAAGCAGGCAGGCAGGCAGTTAGTTATTGGCCAGAAGCCACACTCCAAAATGGCAGTGCAGAACAGCAAGAATAACAAAAGATACAACAAAACAACAACTTTTAAAAATCTATGTAAAATCAAATACTTCATTTATAAAATTAACTGATCCCCTATTCCACATATTATTATCCCCCAAACAGCAGAAATAGCAAAAAGAAGAAAACAGGATGGAATGAGGTGAGGGAGAAAATAGATATAAATGGAAAAGACAGGAAGGACAAAGCTAGAGATGAGATGAGAAGAAATAACAGCAGAGAAGAAAAGTCCTCTTTAGTAATTTCAGAATAGGACTAATCTTAAAAGGCACCCATACTTTTCAGCAGTGATGCCTGCAATCATTTCAATCCGCTGCCATGTTTGTTTTTAGTAGCCTGTATATCTGGAGTAAAATATTGTCTCATTATCAGTAAAAAATGGTGAATAAATTTTAGAAATTTCATAGGCAAAAACTAATTCTAGCAATAGCACTTAGACTTATATAACCCTTCATAGTGTTTACAGCCCTCTCTAAGAGGTTTATAGAGTCAGTACATTGCCCCCAACAATCTGGGTTCTCATTTTACCGATCTCGGAAGGATAGAAGGCTGAGTCAACCTTGAACTGGTAGCAATCGACGGTCAGCAGAATTAGCCTGCAATGCTGCATTCTAACCACTGCATCACCACGGCTCATTTTAATGACATCATAGGATGTTTTTACCTAGGGCAGGGGTAGGCAACCTTGGTTCTTTTATGACTCTCTGGGAGTTGAAGTTCACGAGTCATAAAAGAGCCCAGGTTGCCTACCCCTAATCTTAGGGTATATTCTACAGGTCAGTTTTAAAACTGTTAAAAACAGCTATAAAGTCTGCTACATTTCACATTGGAGTATATTAAAATATAGTAGGGCTATTGTATTTTTTTTACTATTGTAAAAACCGCAGCTACCATTTTGTTGAAATTCTCTCAACTTTTCACATAGTTTATAGGAAATAAACTATTGGTGACATAATTCTGCATCTGCTTAAATGATTCCTTAATAATATTGAAAATATGGTCTAAAAAGAAACTTAAAATAACTCTGCCTTGATTCTGCATGGTGGAACAGAGTACAGAGGGAAATTCTCGCAGCTTTCAGGTTTCTGTTATTGTATCCTATAATGATAAAGCAGAATAAGAACAGTTCTTATAAAAACTGTTCCTTGACCTGACCTACATTGAAGGATTCATAGGGTTGTAGTGGTTTGGGTATAGAAACAAATACAATTCCAGGAAAGACAGTTGAGAGAAAATTAGTTAAATTGAATTATTAAAATTATTAAATTTTATAATTATTAAATTTAAATTACTTTAATTTAATTTTAATGTTTAAAAAGATGAGACTTTTCTTGAATTTTCTGTTCTTTAAAGGACTACTTGAATAATTAACATTATTACAAGGCCTTGTGTCTTTGAGCTGCCTTCTCAATCCAACGTTAAATGATATCCAATTGTATACCCTGAAATAGTTGCACTGCTGTCTAGGAATATTGTAATAGTGGTAGAGCAAGCGAATAGGGAGTGGACAAATGGGAGTTGCCTTTAAGTTCGGTAGGAAGAATCTAAACAATTTCCCCTCTAATTCAGCCTGGTTTTAGCTAACTTTAAAGTCTACAAAAAGAACCAGAAAAAATACGAGCAATGACTATTACTATTTTAAGAAGCAGGGACGTTTTAGTTGTGATCTGTAGTGTTTGTGGCAAGTTTTAGTTGTGATCTGTAGTGTTTGTGGCAAGTTTGTGCTCCTGCTCGAGAACAACTTGTGAAGACTGTAGTAATCCTTGAAAAAAGCACAAACTTATTGGAAAGCAAATGTCCTGTAGAGTGTCCAGAGATGACCTTGAGGCCGAAACATTCCTTAAGTCCTGAGAAACGAGATTGTATTTGGAAGAGACTCAGGCAGATGCTACCCCTGATACATTGAGGTGTAAAAGGCCAGAGAGGTAAAGCACAACCAGGCATGTAAGATTCTGGTACTATACTCTTTCTGAATAAAGTATAGCTCTAATCTTCCTATGGAATTGGTTTCCTGATCTGGTCTATCTTGTAGGGCTGACATGGCCATCCTTCAGTTCATAAGAGAGGTACAATGTTTTCAAGAAAATCAAGAAAGGATCTATGACAGAGATTGATAGGTGAGAAAAACCCAATTCTTTATAAGAAAGCAAAGAAATAATTGAAATAAGAGTCACAGAAGATACTTTGGACCATTGGAGCTAAGAAAACAGTGTTCAGGCCTTTGTAGGTTGAATTGGTTCAGAGCCTTTGGGAAAAGAAAAAAGGCTGGGATTGCTACAGATAATAGAATCCTAAAGAACAGAGGGGATGCAAATAAACCCTTCAAGAAGAGCCTCCTTGTTTTTGGTAAATCATGACTCACTACCAGGAAGAACTAGAACAGAAGTGTGTTCACTGGAACTAAAAATTTTTTCGTGTTCTTAGTATTAAAATTGCACCAGTTATCTGGTATCGGCATGCTTTACAGTAAGAAATACTCAAGCATTTCTCAAAAATGTTTCTTCAAGTCCAAATTCATTGCTCTCTAGTAGTAACTTAAGTTTTAATAGTAACTTAAGTTTTAATCTGAGATATATGCTACTGATTGTACTAGTGTGATCATTCCTGTGAAGGAATTATAAACTGTTTCTGTATGTCTATTCAATATAAATTAATATGATTTTTTCCCCTTTTAAATAGCTTTGATCTATTTAATGTAAATGTTATTTTGGCCATTTAGAAAGGCTAAATGGTGGAAATCAGAATCATAGCATAGGAGAAACATGTTAGACAGTCCCTTACAAAGACCCACATGTTATAGGGGATCCATCTATTACCTCAGCAGAACATATCTTTATAACGATGGATGAAGGTGGAATGTATGTAGTAGGCAGTTCATTCATTAGGAACCTAGATGAATTGTGGTAAGCCTTTTTTTCAAATTGTGGTTAGCTTACCTGATATTATAGTTATGAGTTAATAGCAGGGAGGAAGGACTTCTGGCTGTGGCCTACACTGACATCAACTGTATTTGAGAAATACAGTCCTGAAGTTGTAGACAATGGCTTTTTGAAAGGCATTGGCTTACATTATTTAATGTCTAGGAACAAAATGGTAAACAGCATTCTTAGATGACAAGAGAACTGAAGCCAGGGGTTGCTTGAATTCAAAGTCTTAGGCTGACTCTGCATGCCCAGACTAGAGATTAGATCCTCATAGGGAAAAATGGAGTACATGGTTTCCTATTCTTGTTTAGCCCTGTGAGAGCAGCAAAGTCTTCTTACATCTGTTGCTGGCTTTCTTTTCGTACTCTTTTTGGTACTGTCTCCTGGTTTGTCCTTTTGTCCTGAGTTGTTCTTTGGTCCTAGCCTCCTGCTTCATTTCTTCCCATCTTTCCACACATTTCTAAGCTGAAACTGAAAAATCTGAAACAAGTGATAAGTGAAAGGGCGATTGAAGTGAAATCTCATGACAGCTTTTGTTCTGGATAGCAGCCTTATCAGAACCTTTTATTTAAAGTAGGTGTTCTGGGGGTGCAGCTCTATGAGGCTAATTTTTAGCTTGCTGCCTCATGACCATTCTAACTAAACTGATAGCGCAGAGCTGTTTTCCTTGCCTTCTCAATCCAATGGCAAAACATTTCACACTTGAACAGTAGGACAGCAAAAACTATGCTAATCTCTTGGTTTATCCTTCCTACTGTGCTGAGATTCCATTTGCAATCATTTTGTGAACATTGTTTATATCTTCTGGATAAAATATGTCCTTCAAGGGACATTTCTAAGAGCATTTTTAGAATTCTGCTCTGACACAATGTTGCTGACTGTGTATTTTAATAAGGTTCAGAACAGCAGGCACAGATAGTGAACAAATCCCACTGTTTTTACTAGAATATAGTGGTACTATTGTTACAATATTAAAAAAAAGTTCTGAAATATACAGTTGCCATGTGAATACTTTAAATTTCTTAACACTTATTGTTTAGTGGGGGAAAAATGATTTCTCTCTTGCTTACCATTTTAAATTATAAAGAGGTTTCCTTTGAGATTCCCCCTTCCCCCCAGTTCAGGCAGAAATAAAAAGACACAAATTCTATAGGCTACCCCCTATAAATAATGAGGTCACATTCTTGCCCTTCTCCTTCCTCTTTTTCCCTAACCCTTAAATCTGATTTCAGTTAGTTTACAGCCATCAAGTTCAGTCAGATGGTCAAATCATATATGTTTCAAGTGTTCAGGAGTTCTTTCTCAGAATTTGGACCTAGTTGAAAGAAGATAATTTTTCTAAATACTTTCTAAATAAACCTGACAAAACACCACATGGACAGAATCACCACACATTATAAAATTGAGTTTTCATATATCAAGCTTCTAATTGCCAGACTTAACCTTCAAATTGCACGTTTAGAGCTTGTATTATATTTTTCTTTTGCAGGGATCATTCCTAAATAATTAGGTTGGGACTGTAGTGTTGCTGGCTGAGTCTAACTTTTATTTTTTTCCCATCCTGCTATTTGTCTTGCTCATTTATCAAGTTAGTGGTTTTCAAAAAGAACCAAGATGAAAACAAGCCCTTCCCTCTTTTAAAGAAAATAATAAATGAGTCTCTTTTTTGAT